GTTCTACATATGGATCCTGGAAGATGATTGGATGGAGTATCTTTGGATCTTTCTAAGCTTCCTATCGCTTCCTCGAGTTCACTCGTGGATTGTCCTCACAATAACAATGAAAACTACCTATTTGCTATAATTGATATTTCATTTATTATGTACATGATAATAATAATAATTATTATTATTATATGCTCATTAGGGATTTATTTCAAGATGAATTTCGTGGAGTTCTAATGAGCAACAGTGACCAGTGTAGTCAAATTCGTCTAGGGTATGAGACAGTTGTTCACCGAAGACAATGAATAAAGAAATGAGCAAGATCATGGATCGATTAATGTTATACATTAACACTGATGGATACCGTTCCAATAGTCTAGAGCTTAAACGTCTATGACCGAAAATGATGGTTGTGGATTAGAGTCCAACGTTTGAAATCGTGGATGTGCAATGCTGAAGAGTCTCATACTAGAACGAAACTGTCGTCTGTTGCTTACAGGTTTTCAATGGTGGTCTAGCTTACATCTACTTACGAATAAAACTACTAAAACTACTACAATCTCCACAAATCCCTATTCTGATAATAAATAAAAATATTAATTAGAATCAACTTTGCAACTTTTATCAATTATACTTCCACATAGTTATAATATATTACTGCCTACCAATAAGTAACACTTAGGGAAATTATCTACTGTTATGAGTTCATTCAATCAAACTCATTATGTAAAGAATCACCAACTTAAATGATATTTAAATAGAAAATCTCTGAAATTATTCTTTATTACATAATGATATCAATTTGGATACTGTTTAAAACCGGAGAGATAGACAGATAAAAGAGAAAAAAAATTGCCTATAATTTCACCTAAGACTGTTATTTATTTATTTGTTTATCTCTATCAGGAGGGTTTTTGTGGACATTATACTAATTAAAATGGTTGAGATCATGAGTCAATTGAATCTAGACTATCACAGGAAACCTGGAAGCACTGGGATTCAACCGGATGTGTTGCGAGATAATAACTCACTGAAGACAATAATGGATATGTCGCTCAATTTCATGGAATAGTTAAAGTTAGACATTAACACCATTGGATGCAGATCAGATCAGTGATCTAGAGGTTTAGTGTTCTCGTGCGAGATCGATAGGCCCTAGGTTCGAATCTCACGAGGTAGGATCGTAGATGAGCACTGCTGAGGAGTCTCACAATAAAATGAAACGGTCATCCAGTGCTTTCAAGTTTTCCATAGTAGTCTAACTTCAATTGATTCATCATGTCAACGATTGAAAAATATAATTAAAGGTCTACTAAAGTTAAAACTTTTATCTATCACATTTTGTAAGTAAATTTATTGTGAATATATAAACAAACAAATAGACAAATAAATAAACAAAATCAAATTATTCTTAATTTCTTAACCTTGGATAAATTAGTCAAATAAATAATGATTATTATTTGTGAATATGAAACTAGGACAAAATGATCATTCAGTGTTTTTTGTAGGTTTTAATTTTTTATGTCATTTCAAATTATTCAACAACAAGAAAAAAAATTCTTTTTTTGTTGTTGTTGTTGTTGTCGTTAGTAATAAACATTCATGATAAATTTTATTGATATCAAGTATATCAATATTCTTTTCTTTTTTTTTTATTAATTCAATTGATTTTTTAAGGTAATGAAATAGGAACATCAGGAATATAAACAAAGATAGATAATGGTTAGTAGTAGAAAACCAGTTTGACGCATGTTTCGTCCTACTTGAAACTCATCAGCTAGATATACTTACATCTCAGAATTGATGTTCACTGTGGGACTGTAGGACTCAGTAGCTGAGTGGATAACCTGATAATATTTGAAGAGAATAGTACTGGACTCGAGTCTCGAAGTGAACAATAATTCTAAGATACATGTACGTCCAGCTAGTGAGTCCCAAATAGGACGAGACAAGCGTCCTAGATTCCACTGTTAGCCACTATCGATCTGTGCTCAGAATGCTTATGAATTTAGGTAATATCGAGACAATACGTACAGTATGCATATATGTCAATAAGAGACTGATTAATTGCAGTCCTAAACAACAATAGAAAGATACAAGCAAGCATTACCAAGTGAATTATTCTGCATAGTTTTGAAAAAATTGCATAAGTTGTCATTATTTACGTTATAACTTGTGCTCCATAACCTTATAATGTATAACATGATGATTCCGCCAATTAGAGAACAGTGAGTCATCGACAAGACCAATGACACATAAAACTCACACGAGCAGTCTAGAATCCTTATCGGTCCTTCTTCCCGCCTAGTCCTGACTGTTATGTCCAGAACACAAATCTCAGCCTCTGCGATATGAATCATATATTTCAAACATACTGGATTTATATACAAACCAAACAAATCACATCGTCTCATAAAATAGGTAACAACACTTGTACAACATTTAGCCAAATGTGGCTGTGCATGTGGGGGACTGTAATTCATATACTGGGAATAACTTAAGAATGATAAATTGTATAATAATAGTTTATAGGTCAAAATATAGCTCATAATAAGAGAGACACTAATATGAATAGTTTAGTTAATTAAAAATTATACGATAAAAATATACGTATAGTATTGGTTCATAAATGGATTTCAACAGTTACCACTCATTATTCTCATCGGGATATAACAGTTTACATCCTTAATCCATATTAACTAGACTACCGTTCAAAACAAGTTATAACTATATCTCCATTTCGTTGTAGTATTGGATCCCTGGTTATTGCAAATGCACGTCTCCTTCATGAAAGATAAAACCCATAAAGTTTAGTCCTGTGTATGAACACCTAACCTGTAGATCACTAAGCCTTGTTCAAATGGTGTACATGTTTAAATGCAAACGCAACCATTTCTTGTTCATAGGATCAGTTTATGGAAAAAATGCTAACAGTATAGTTGACTATAGGTAACAACGTGACCATGAAAGGAAACCATTAATCAATAATCCTAATTTATACAAATCGTATATTTATTTCTTTATAAATCATATCATAAAAGATCATAGTTTAACTTAATAACTGCTTAGATATTAAAAACAATTCTGTTTTTTTCACAATAATAATGAATAGTTAACAACTTTTCACATAACTAAAATGATCAAAACTACAATTTATTTTAAAAGTGTACAATATTGTTAACATCCCAATCTCCCTTCTTATCTTTTTTTTGGGGGGGGGGGAGGGAGACCATTGGATTTTGAGGAAAACCCCTAAATTTCTCTAAAATTGAGAGATTGGGATTATGATAAAAATCTATATATATAATTTGCATTTACATATTCATAGTCATATTATTTTAAATCCATATAGTTACAACAATGTTATTCTCTCCTCCTTTGATTTTCTTCAATTCACAACGTCATGTGTGAGCAGTGTTGTAATCTCACAACAATCTTTAGATATAAAAACTTGATTCACATAGTCCTCTTTTATAAGATAATAAAAGCTTAGCAAGTAATATATCCTATATGGGAAACTGAAGGCAGTTTATTATGTGGTACATTAGAACTCATGAAATAGAGTGTTTCTAACTTGAAGAAGATTATTCAAGGTTTAAATAATTTGATAGAAACTTATTCAACATTTAAATTGTTTAGTGTGGGGTTCAAAGTGTATAGAATTGATTGGTCTATTTTAAATTACTGATAATCATTAATGACAACTGTTAACTAAAATAGAAGTTATATACAGGATTTTTACTGATCACCATCAACTACCCGTCTTCAAATAACCTGTCTAACGATGTCGATTTATTCATGCTGATGACCACAAAACACATTTATCACTTTGATCGGCCATAAAAGCTAGATAACATAATACTGGTTATTTCTACTTATGGGATCAAAATGTTTTAGTTTTTAAGAATTAATGATAAATGAGATCATAGATCACGACAAAATACATGGTTAATTATCTTTTTTTTGGGTTTTGTACAACTCTCATTTAAATCAAATTTTAGCATAAGTCATTAAATGTAAAGAATGCTAATTATATGTCTTATACCTAGCTTGAGACATCTCATTGACAAAATTCCATACCACGATACAGGATCAAATTAACGTAAAGAGTGAAACAATAAGAGACAGTTGGATTGGATAATTCTCACAAAATATTTTAAACTGAATAAACAGAAAATCTGCAAAATACCAACTGATTACAACAAAAGTATCATTCTTAACACAAAACCATAGTGTTCTAAGCTATTCAATATACCTCATTTTTATTTACATTTTACGGAATATATCAAGAAATTATTTGTCAACTTGTGAATAAGTTTATTACTAGCCCAAGATCTGACTACAAGTAGATCATTTGCTGCATGTCATTGAAATATACATGTGAGCTAACTTCGTTTATAATCGTTAACTTAATTCGCGTTAGTGAATAACGGAATTAAATAAGACAAATACTAGAATAAATTTCGAATACGTATATTTCATACAGTTATTGATCCAGATAGATGATCAAAGAAACAAAGTAAAGAAAGTGAAGAGGACAGTGCGAAAAGATGCGCAATGGAGAAGGCGTGTGAGCCAACTCAATTTAGCTAAGAGTCAGTCAATATTTATAGTCGAACAAAAAGTTACAGACACATAATGGGTAAGGTAAGCAGTTAGCACACATACGATGATATAAAAAACAGTCAGGATTAATGAGCGAATATGTGACAGTGCAAAAATGTGGATTGAAAAGAATGTATAGGATTGATCTGTTCAGAGGCTGGGGTAACCTACGTGAGCTTGACATAGTACCATCGCCCCACTGTTTAAAGTCTGAACATACCTGTTGGTTGACAATCTCAATAAATTATAAATCCATGCTGAATTAATTTTTTTAGAAGAACCTAGCAATTAATTATAATTTTCAACCTGTCATATTCAAGAAGAAACATTTTTGAGTGTAATTATCACATTGTTATGCTCACTACATGTGTTATTTTTTTGATGTCTTACATCCCTTTTAATAGGTGTGGAAACGTTTTGATAAAGATAGAAGTGGATATATTGAAGCTGATGAATTGAAAGTAAGTGATGAATATGTTTTAATAGTTAAATTCATGAGTCAATCTAAGATAGACCACCACTGAAAACCTGGCAGCACTGGATGGCTGTTTCATCCTAGTATGAGACCCTTCAGCAGTGCGCGTCCATGAACCCGAATAAGGGATTCGAACCCAGGACCGTCGGTCTCGAGTGACAATGCTTAACCTCTAGACCATTAAGCTGGTATCTATAAATCCAATATAAAAATTTATTATTCATTTATATTATTAGTAAAGATGAAAATCATTTCCGAAATATTTACTTCGTCAATTTTCAATCATTACAATTAAATATCCTGAATGAATTCATTAAATGGTTACTTGATTCTTTTCATTTGTTTTAAGATACATAAAGTGTGTGAACGAATCAAATGTTTAATGAAATATAACACATAATATAGAATTATTATGGTGTAGGAGTAGGGTTGGAAGAAAACTGGGGGCGGCCAGACCAAAAACATGACACAAATCCATGAAGTCATCGACAAGTGAACTGAACCACGTTAGTAGGTGTAGACCACACGGTTGGGATCCGCCAGACGATAACAACCGATGGTCAAAGACCTTGAATGACATGGCTCAATATCGTTTGCAATGGCGCAGTGGTGCATCCACTCTTTGTGTTCTCGCAAATTCTAATCTTCTAAATTCTTCATGTCCCTTATTTTTTCTCTTTTCAAGTTTATTTTATTGGATTATACTCCTTGAATAACATCTTCAAACCTTAATTATTCCGATCACTGCTTATACTTTTACTACCTTTACCACTATGTGATTTGAATGGACAATTGTATCTGTATGCTAATGTGGTATGTCAAGTTGAACTGATGTACGTATGTATGAAGTTCTACGTTGTTATTGACTGACTGACTGATTTTAGATAATTCTATTGAAGTTATATTTGTTATCTATGAGCAATTGTATGTAACATGTGGAAAATTATCTGAATTGAAGAATTCTAGTTTTCTTCTATGTGACAATAGCATCGAAAATAACACACTTCATTTGTGCAAACAGATGTTTTATATGATCTTATTCAAAATGTTTGTGATTAAATAATGATTTTAAAGTCTCAAGTGGTATATCATGTGTTACATGCCTAATCACACGATCATTTTTTGTAGATATTTAAATCAATTACATAATTTACATCTAGTTCATATTTGTCGGTCATTATGTCTTCAACAATTCATGTATTAGTATGTGTTCTATGTATTCTCAAAATCCCGAAGGACCTGTACGGATGTTACGTTTTAGTTGATACTGATATTTTCTTTGACAGACAAACAACTAGTATGAAAGGCCTAGTTGACTAGATTTTTGTCTTCATATCAATCTTTTGTTACTACTAACGTCATTCAAAGTAGTATATGTCATGTGAATAACTAGAAACTCCATCAATCACTTAGAATGCATATGAATATAATTTCTTTTTTATAAGCAACTTGATTCTCCTGACTTGAAAATATTTCATTACATGCATACAATAGTAGATCTCTTTATAGATCATGGTCTCAAAGTACATTAATCTCTAAAAAATAAACATAATTTGTTGAGACTAAAATATATGGACGACCAGTGAGCGAGGACAAAGTGACCTTGAAAGTATCCACCTACTTACTAGTGTTAAATAAGGGTTATAAAACAGTGTAAGGAATTTGGATTGTGATTTACAATTGACGGTTAGGGTTAGGGTTTTCACTATGAACTAACATAAACTGTAATGCCATAACGCTATTTAACCAAATGAATGAATGAATTCCATGACAAAATCAATAACCTGTTATCGTAAATCTGATTGGTTAGTTCATAAATTATAGTCTCGACATCTAGATCCTATACAATGATAAATGAGTAACTGCTCAATTGTAATTGATTTTAAGAATCTTAAAAATTAATCTATTCTATATTCCATGATCAATAGTACAGATATTTAATTTGCTTCTATATTTTTTAATTATAGAACAGCTTATTAAATAATATAAGTAAGAGAATTCGACACTGATAAATGTATTTTATTGTACTCAAAACTTTTATAGCAACTTACTTACAATCAGTTTTGTTTATGGTTAATTTTGTCGAACACTTTTATTAACTTATTTAACAGTCAATGTTATTCGGATAGTAACAATTCATCCATTTCTCTGTATTATTATCATCACTACCATGTCTGTATAGAAGTGTACGCTTGATCACAAGTGACAGCCTATACACATATATCTCTAGCTTAAACGTTAATCGCTTAAATAATCCTCGATGAATCGTTGTCTTTCCCATGTATATATGTGGTCGAATCCTGTTAATAACCTTTGTCTTGCCTAACTGCACCGCGATTCGATTTAACCATATATTCGCCTCTGTATTCGCTATCTTGCTCACACACGCATTAGCCTCTCTGCACCGAATTCGTTCGATATGCTTGTAACTTTGTTATCTGTGCGATCCACTAATGAACTGTAGTCACCGCTTCCTATTGTTTTATAAATTCAAACACTTCTTGGTGATTTATATGCTACTGATTATCAAGGTGATTGATTAACGAAACTAAACCATTACACTCTGTCTACAAGGTGCACAACATAGATTCATATAAACTTTACAAACTTTTGGTTCTATCAACATTACCTTCATTCAAAATACTCTACATTTAATGAGCTACAATTGTCTTATCTTTATTTGCATTGTTCAAACATCCTTAAAAGTCTTCAGAAGTCGGTATTTCCAGATATCTACTCGTTTATCATTTGTAATTGTTTTACCATAACAACATGGAAACATGATTTTTTGATATTTAGTTCATTTGTGATCATAAAGAAATCATACATGATTACATACAACCAATGATTTTATTAACAAAATGATAGATCCATGGTTATTTGAATTTTTCCTTCAATCTTTCCGTATTCATGAGTTATATGGACAAGTTTGTATGTTTTTACTAATGCTACTTTTTACAATGCTATATCTTTACAAATAACATTCAGCATTTAATACATCTCTTAAAGGAATGGTTCAGCTTAGAGCAATACTCTTAAAAGCTTGACTAGCTCATTTATTAAAAAGACAATCTTGAGAATTTTATTATTACAACAATAGTTAGATATCAGTAAACATTAAAAATCCCATTCGGAATGATATGAATTAACTAGCTAATTGATTGGGAAAATTTTTACTAGATTACTTACTTACTTACACTTTTTACTCCCAACGGAGCATAGGCCACCGACCATCATTATCTACTTGAAGCCCGTCTGGGGCTACTGCCAGTCCCCAGCCCTGATAAGGGAAGAGGGTTGGGCATGAAGTTAGCGACCCCATCCCGTAGAAAACTAACCCTCTAAAGAAACGCTAACCAGGAAAAAAAATTTCAAACCATTTTTTACTAAAAAACTTAATAAAATAGTTATATCTAACAAATTAGAAACGTTTATCAATCCCATGGATATAGTTTTAAAAATAATACAATGCTATAGACTAAAACAATGTAACTGTCACTTATCCGTCAGGTAAATCAACTACAATTTTTTTTTCTTTTATTTGTAAAGATTGACGTTTCGTAAATGAATCTTTACAAATTTATATATTGATGTTTTATCCCAGAGCAGATTAGTGTAACTTCTTCATAAACCTTATTCGACTGATGTTGATTTCTAGAGAAAATGAGTATCACTTAGAATAAAATTAGCCTAAAATCGTAAATAGTAAACGTGAATAGATTAATATTCTCATTATTATTTAGGAAGAAAAATAACCATAAATAAAGATGGATGGTAATGAGCAGTGGTATTTAGTGTTTCATCCTGTTTCAAACTCTTTAAGTGGGTGTATCTGTATTCCAAAGTTGATATTCACTTAGGGACTCAAACCCAGTACCGTTTATTTCAAACATCATCGAGTTATCCACTTAACTACTGAGTCCTGATAGCCACTTCCTTTTGCAATGGAATGAAGTATAAATTCATTTTGTATTGTTTGTTTGAATCTTCTTATTGATGTTTAGGACTGCAATTGATCAGTCTCTTGTTGGTACATTGCATCCATTGAGGATTACCATGATATTGCCTTAAGCCACAAGCTTTATATGCAATGAGAAGATATAAGCAAACAATACCAAGTGAAGTTAAGATACTTGCTTACTTACTTACGCCTGTTACATCTCGTAGAGGAGCATAGGACGCTCACCAGTACTCTCCATTCAACCCTGTCCTGAGCAATCCTTTCCAGCTCTTCCCAGTTTTTATTCATCCTTTTCATATCTGCTTCTATTTCGTGACGTGATGTGTTCTTCGGCCTTCCTCTTTTCAAGCTTTCCTTCAGGATTGCAATTTAGGGCTCACTTCGTGATGCAGTTTGGTGATTTCCGTAATGTATTTCCTATCCATTTCCATCGTCCATTCCTAATTTCCTCTTCAGCTGGAACCTGGTTTGTTCTCTCCCACAGAAGGCTGTTGCTAACCAAATTTTAAAATAACCATAAATTAAAAACAACGGGTAATCGTAAGAAAACTTTTATACAATTTAGAAAATACTTTTCAACCAAGTGGAAATTGACTAAATTACTTTATTGACTTATTGAGTTTACAAATCTACAAAAATAATGCCCAAATATAAAGGAAGAAACACTTTTTCGAGTTATTATAACTATCAACTTCTATTTTTAAGTTAGTATGTAATAAGAAAGATTGGTTTAGCAAAGAATTCTCTTTTCGGCTCCAACATGATTTCCTGGAGTTTTAGTGAGAAGCCTTGACTAGTAAAGTACAATCTATGTCGGGTAGAGACACGTATCTATCTCATACAATGGGTGAATGACATTCATGGATCGATGGATGTTAGACATTAACATCGTTGGATCCCGGCTCAGTGGTCTATAGGCTAAGTGTTTAAATGTGAGGCCAAGGGCTAAGGGTGCTCACTGCTGACGGATCCCGTACTAGGTCGAAACTGCTGTCCAGTACTTCCGGTTTTCCAATTGTGGTCTCACATCAATCGATTTATGATCGCAATCAAAAAGTTAACAATCTCCACAACACCATACTGATAATAATTCATTTTCAAGTTTGTACAATGGCAACTATACATATGGTTTTAATTACAATAATAATGATAATGAACTACCGCCTCTTTTTAGCCACACCAGGTTAGTTTCTAACCGCGAAATCTTAATGATGCCTTTGATTCAGCTTATCAAGTAGAAAGTGGCAATCATTCAACTTAAAAGTAAATCCAAATGACAATTCGGAATTATAAAAGTTGAATTTATGAGTCGATCTAATCTAGACCACCATTGAAAACCTGGAAGCACTAGACAGCCGTTTCGTACAAGTATGGAACTCTGCTGCCAAAGGGTCCTATACTACTTCCGGGTTTTTAGTGATGGTCCAATTCATGAATTCAACTATTAACATTACTACAATCTCCACATTGGCTAGAAAATAAACAACATTAGCTTAGTCTACTAGAAAACAGTAAAAGGTTACATTATACAACTTATTATATTATAAATCAATATTAATGAAAAATTAAAAATAATAACATAACAGATGTCAACTTCTTTCTAGCTTTTTTCGATGAAGTTTTGTTCTCTGAGTTGAATGGTTTAGTCGTGGAGATTTCATCCTTCGTCTTAACGACATCATCAGCAGCTACAAATCTTCTCCAACATCTTACTTCTTCCTAGTTTTAAATGATAAATATTGAACGACTAGTTTGCTACAAAACTGTTTTCCAGTTTTTGTCAACAGCATAGTAAGTAATATAAGATTTGAAAATGGTGATCAAAAACACTTGTTGAGGGTAAAATAAAAAAGAAGATTATTACAAGATAATTAAACCATAGAAACAAGTGTTTCATTAAAATTTATCAAACTTTCAACCGTATATGTGTTATAACTTGTGGATTGTGACCTTTGAATGTATAACGCGATGATACCGCCAATTAGAGAACAGTGAGTCATCGACAGGACCAATGACACATAAAACCCACACGAGCAATCTAGAATCATTATCAGTCCTGCTTCCTGCCTAACTCTACCTCTGATGTCCAGAACACAAATCTCAGCATCTGCGATATGAATCATGTATTTCAAACATACTGAGTTTATATATAAACCAAACAGATTACATCTCAGTACAAAATAGAAAATAACATTTGTACAAGACTTAACCAACAGTGGTTGTGAATGAAGGAGATAGTATTTGATAGACCAGACATAACTGAAGAATGGTAAATCGTATATTAATATTTCATAGATAAAAATAGAGCTCATGATAAGAGGAACACGAATATGAATGGTTGAGTTAACAATTATACGATAAAAATATACGTATAGTTTTGGTCTATATATGGATTCCAATAGTTACCATTCTCACAATATGTTAGATAGTTCGATGCCAGTTTACCATAAAGTTTATTTATGTTATGCGCCAATGAGAAACATGAATCAGTTAGTCAGTCAATTGTAATGTGTACTAAACAACTTGAATATAGAAATACACTATATTGAAAAGTACTGATTACGTAATTATCATCTTAAAGATATAGAAAATTACTAAACACTCATCACTGTGTAAAGTTTTATATCGGAAAAGTTAAAAAACCTTTGATTCTCCAAGGTTAATATTGATGTTTAAATAAACGTCATGTTTACTAACTACTATCATCGTCTTATTATGAATCTATGATCTGAATATCCAATTGTTCTAAATGTTATTACATTCAAATGAAAAGTATTTCGGTAACATTATGCTGCGTGCTACTTATTTCGACATAGGTAGTATATAACGTTAGTCAGGAATAGAATGTCTAGTGGTTGAAGGTTGAAAATATCAAGGAGGGAAGAAGAGAAACAGAAAACAATTGGTATGGCACTACAGGAACAATAAAATCTGAGACAACTGATGAACAATTTGCAAATGAAGTATTGAAATATGGTTTTTCCATTTTACCAAGTAACTGTATATTTTGAGCTAGATATCGATTGTCCTCACCTGTGTTCCCCCTCACTACAACATCACTATGTAGTAAGTATTCGCTAAATTATAGTTTCTCCTGAATTACTTGCTTGGTCTAATACAAATACGCTAACATCATAATGTTAAACGTCTTAGATTTATTTCCCAATAATAAACCGTGAGCGCTGTAGGGTAATGTGTGTCATGTGAAAACGAATCTTGATGGTATTCATCAGCATCTGTTGCATTGTTACAGTGCACCAACACATTTTTCAGTAAAAATCTTCTAGTTTCTAACGTTTAATTCCATCAGCTTATTCAATTATACTTCTAACTTACTAGACTTATCCCTATGATATTCCTTCACATTCCTGGATCAGTTCTGAAAATAAAGTTGTATAAACAATACAACGTAAGAAGACTATCCAGAGTAGATTCAAAAATATGATCAGAAATGATGAATATTTTAAAGAAAATGAAAGTAATGTATTTTAACACCTACGAAGTAGTGTATTTATTATAATGAGCATAATTCCATAATAAAATTCTTACAATCACTTGAATATAAAATCTATACAATCCAAATTATATGTTAACTATAAGATACTATTTAACCTGTAATAAATATTGATCTATATTCTGTAGTCATTTCTTCTACACTTATTAAAAGAAGCAAAACCGGAAACTAATATTGAAGAAGGAAAATTAATTGAGTATACTTCATCCATTGTAAGTTGATTTCATTTTTTGTGGGGAGGGTTTCATAATGTTTTTTAATAATATATCACTTTTTACTATTCTATTACTAATTGTTTAATTTATTTTATATGAAATGAATGTAAAATAAAAGTACAATTATGCAAATATTAAGTCATACAAATCATATCGTTACGAGGTAATTAAAACTAACTGCATTCTCACGATGGGGGTGTATTTTATAAAATTGAGAAAATGAAAAGTTAATGTTTAACACTTTAACCAGGTTGGTGGATATGGAGAATCCAACTAGGGGAGTTGAAAAACCCTGATTTCAAACCAATGGTGCACATAGGCTCCAGGAACTTGAAGAAACAAAAGGTGTATGAACTAATCATAAGACTACACTTCTTGACGTCACTCCACTGCCTCGTGAATTAGACCTTCAGGTCAAAGGCTTGGGGTGTGACCCCTTAAGAAAGCCACTTGCTCCAGCTTGGGAATCCGGGTGATATCGCAGCTCTCACACAAATCATTTGATTTATGCGGTGCACATCTATTTGGTGCTTCCTAGTAACAATGTTTATGTGTCTAAATATATAAATAAATAAATAATACATAGTTTTTGAAGACTGTTCAAGTGTAGATTAGTTTTAATCAAGAACTGTTATCGACTATCAGAAATCATAGGGTATCATAGTTCCCATCTATCTTTGTTATAGGACCAGTTAATAATCCATACCCATGATCATACAAACGATTGAAGGTTAAAACTTCATTCTCTCTACTAACAACCTTCAGGTCATGGATCGAACAATTAATTTCACGAATATTACATAATCATCATAGGCGGATTGAATTAAAACATTTTGACTATTAGACTAGAAAAAGCTTTTAAATATCATCAAATGACCTGACAGTTTGAAAGGATTTTCCAGTTACAAAAGATACAAGAGTAATCACATATGAATTAGCTGAAATAAATTAAAAACTTCATCATTTAATCAATAAATTTAGGGTTCAATTAGGTCACTGAGATTAATTTAGTTATCCAACATGTTGGTAAACAATTATAATATTTTAATTCTATACATTTAATGGTGATAAAATCAACCCAAATTAAGTTTACATTACTCAATCAATAAAAAAATTAATTTCTAACCTCAACCAATCCACAAAATTGCGTGAACATCTACTGTACTGAGGTAGATATCTGTCTCCATCCAACACGGATTAGCTCCACTGGTCACGTCTTCTCACTAGAACTCCGAGAATTCCCACATGAAGCTAGTCACTAGTGAGCAAGTTGCAATTATCAGTACAAGGTTGTAAAGATTATTAAGTTATTGATTGAGATCATGAAACGATTGATGATCGACCACCAATGAAAACCTAGAAGCACTGGACGGCCATTTCGTCCTATGGACGAACTCCTCAGCAGTACGCATCCACGGTCCCGCTCGTGGGATTAGAACCCAGGGCCTTCAGTCTTGCAGGCGAACGCTTAACCTACTAGCTGGCCGGCATCCAACGGTGTTAATGTCTAACCTCAACCAATCCACGATGCACATTGCTGAGGAGTCCCACAATAGAAAGAAACGGCCGTGTAAAGCTTCTAGGTTTTCCGTGGTTGTCTATCATCAATCGTTCCATGATCTCAATCAATAATTTAATAAACTCCATAACCCTATAGTGATAAAAAAATCACAATGTTCACTCATTTTTGACATTTACAGCATAAATAAACTGCTGAAAAGATTTTTATATAAAAACATTCACATTTGCCTAAAGTATATTTTATAATCAATATCACGGACTGATTTCAGATAAACAATCATTAGAAACCATGAGTTAGTAGACAAATGTTTTGACCTAGAATGGGATTACTGGTTATCAGCTAAACCTTCAGGAGCTTGAGCGGAACTTAAGGTCATGTGTTCAATCCTTAGCGGTATAGTTATGGATTTACGCTGCTGAAGTGTTCTGTGGAATAACAAAATAATTGCCTAATGCTTCTTAGTTTTCAACGGTCTTTTTTTGACAACAGTTAAATCACGGTGCTAACGATGAAATTCAACTACCTCCCTAAGCCACTTACAATAGATAAACATTTTTAAATGAAAATGAATTATTCATATTTGTTAAGAATATTTTGTACTCAGGCATAAAATAACGAAGCTTTAAAATGAATAACCTAATGAAAGCTTGTGTTAGGTCACATAGAGTTTGAATAAAGATATCTGACATAATTTGAATAACCTTAGAAAAAAAAACTATTATCGGTTTAACTTATGTTACATTTGCTTCTCTGCTCCAATTCACTCGATGTACTCATAACTTTGTTATCTGCGCTATCCACTAATAAACTGTAGTGGCCACTTCTTATTGCCTTCTGAATACAAACACTTTTTGAGGATTTATTTATTTATTTATTTAAACACATAGATATTGGTACAAGGAGGTAACAGATACATATGCGCCACACAAATCTCATTTGATATGTGTGAGGGCTGTGATACTGCCAGGATGCCCAGACCGAAGCAGGTGGTTTTCTTAGGGGGCCACACCCCGAGCCTTCGACCTGAACGTCTGATCCACAAGGCAGTGGAGAATCGTAAGGAGATGCAGTCCCATGGTAGCCGGTGACCAACGATTGGTTCATACGTCATTTGTTCCCTCAGTATACTGGAGCCCATGTGCACCATTGATTTGAGGATTTATATCCTAGTAATTATCAAAGTGATAAATTATCGAAATTAAAACACTACAAACTGACATGATGATATATGACACATTATAGAAATCTTTTAAATTGTTTAATAAGTGCAGAAAGAATTTGTTAGATTCAAATTGACCTAAAGTTGCTTATTATTCTTTCTATTTCATTTTGTAAAGCTTCAGTTATTCGATCAAAATAAAGATGGTAAACTTCAACTCAGTGAAATGGCAAGGTAAAGTTTGTTTTAACTTAATATTAGATCTTATGAAATATATATGTATAATTTCAATAGTTGATATCATGAGTCAATTAAGGCTAGACTATCATGAAAAACCATTTCGTCCTATTATGGGATTCCTCAACTGTGTGTATCCACGATCCCGCCTTGCAAGATTCGAACCCAGGACCTATCAGTCTATGTATAATATTAATGATCTGACTTAATGAACTCCTAGTGAAATTGTACAACTAATATCTAAAAATATAAACAAGTACATAGAGGTGAAATGATCAATTTCTTTTCAAAATAACATCAATTATATCAAGAATTAATCAATATTTTCTTTACTAACATCTTTTTTTCTCCTTGATAAAATGATAATATTAATACCACTTTGTTGTACTCTGGGAACTAAGCTCAAAAAGTTACCTTTTATTAAACCAAAACCTTAAACAGTAGTATAGATAACTATTTATTACTGAATATTTATTATAGAATTCTAGTTAACATAATATTAGGTACAAATTTTATGGTTAATATGAGGACAACCCGTGGGTGAACTTGAGGAAGCTCTAAGAATTCCAAAAAGATCCGAAGATATTCAATCTAGTCATCTTTTGGATGAATGTTCCAAAATCTCTGGGTGTAGCTTCCCTATTGGATAGATGCTAAAACTCTCTGTATGTGGATTAGTGGACTATAATAATGATTTCGTTTTTACTAAAAAAAATACTATAAATATCTGAGAGTTTACTGTAATTGACACTATTTGGAATAGTATTCCTCTCACTTGTATTCTGTCTTCTCATTTGCAATTTGGTGGTTTCGAGCCTTGGAGTTGTTCAAGTTATAAGCGGTTTATTAAGAATCTAATCTCTAGATATAATAGTTAATATGTATCATTTACTATTCTGAGACTCAGACAACATTATAGTTATCATACCTTTGATGAACTGTTTAATAAAATCAAATCTATGCTCATAACGTTGATAACTCTGAAGTTTGTATTCTGTTAAGAATCTTATATCTTATTAATAATATCAATTCTGTTTACAAACTTTCTTTTCATCTTATATTTGATATTACTGACAATCCTTGATACAAGGATTCAGTCAAAATAATTTATGAATTATATTGTTTTAAAATATATAATCTTATCTCTTCGAAGTGGTATCCTTCCTATTGTAGTGAAATAATTGACTCAGTTTATTATTGTGTAATCTCTAATCATTAAGACCTTGAAAGAAGTTGTCATTTGTCAGATAAATATTCCTTATTGAACTTTAGTGATTAACTTATGATTATGTCACTAGGCTACACAACTAGACTTTGTTATATGATATGTTTTATAGTAGATAGATTAAGGTATTGATTATAAATCTCTGAAAATCCATCTTGTACTGGCTAACTTACGTGAATGATTCATATAGAAAGCTGTACTGATTATATTTTACAGAATGATATTGAAATCATATTGAACGCTATGGTATGAAAACGGTGAATATTATTATTATTATTATTATTATTATTATTATTATCAGAAAGGGGGTTTGTGGAGATTGTAGTAATTTCAATAGTTGAGATCATGAGTCCATTGAAGCTAGACTACCATGGAAAACCTGAAGCATTGGACGGCCATTTCGTCCTATTTTGGGAATCCTCAGTTGAAGTTAGACATTAATACAATAAGACAAAACGGCCATCCAGTGCTTCCAGATTTTCCATGGTAGTCTAGCTTCAGTTGACTCATGATCTCAGCTATTGAAATTATTATTATTAAGTAGAGTATGCTTTCCTATTTACCACAGTAAGAATCAAGATGTCATTCAAACTGAGATTGTTTATTCATAATATAAATGTTATTTATATTATATTATTAATTATCAACCATTATTTTCAATGATTCTAACTCTTTTTAGATTACTTCCTGTTAAAGAGAACTATTTATGTAGACCAATTTTCAAGGTAATGTTAATCAAACTCTTATGATTATATCATAATACTGTGATAATATACATTTTGTAGTGGATAATGTAAATCAAGATATCTTCTTCTTATTGACACAAGACAATACAATACCTAAAAGGAAATGAATAGTATAAAGTACAAATGATAAACTGTAATTTAAATCTATTTAAACTGTTGAATAAATATGGAATATTCTTTCCTATATGTTATGATACAATGGATTTTTATAAGTAGTATAATTGTTATAACTTGTGGCCTGTGACCTTTGAATGTATAACGCGATGATACCGCCAATTAGAGAACAGTGAGTCATCGACAGGACCAATGACACATAAAACCCACACGAGCAATCTAGAATCATTATCAGTCCTGCTTACTGCCTAGCTCTACCTCTGATGTCCAGAACACAAATCTCAGCATCTGCGATATGAATCATGTATTTCAAACATACTGAGTTTATATATAAACCAAACAGATTACATCTCAGTACAAAATAGAAAATAACATTTGTACAAGACTTAACCAACAGTGGTTGTGAATGAAGGAGATAGTATTTGATAGACCAGACATAACTGAAGAATGGTAAATCGTATATTAATATTTCATAGATAAAAATAGAGCTCATGATAAGAGAAACACGAATATGCATAGTTTATTTACTTAACAGTTATACAATAAAAAATATAGGTATAATATTACTCCAGAAATAGATTCCAACAGTTACCATTCATTATTCCCATCGGGATATAACAAATACATTGAATTGTCCTCACTCGTATTCTTGTTCACTACATTACTACTACTACTCCACTGCTAAATCAATTACATAACTTGATAGCAGAAAAACGATAATTAAAGCTATAACTCTTAATCAACCTGTAATTTGCACTGAATTGTATGATGATTAATGGAATTTTTTTAAATTTAGCTTTAAATCAGGAAGAAGTCATATACAATGTTTGATTTCATAGTAAGAGCTTGTAGTGTCGGTTACTATGTTAAGCCTATATTCTGGCATGTGGACAGGCCAATCTATTCATTCTTCCTGAGTCACGTTTTGACCTTGTCATTTATTCGCTTATTAAACTTGATTGCTTTTATATGAGCGTATGTGTGTGTGTATGTATGTGTACACTTCTTATCCTATTCATCACATGTCTTTAACTTATTTGTATTTAGCTATAACTATTGATTAACGCTTGATTAAATCCAGTTAGCTCATCTGCCATCTCCACAGCATGTCATTTCGTTTCGCTTGATTCCTTTGGTTGTCTGCCTGGATCGATGGTTATACAAAATATATGTATTCGAAATTCTTTCTCGTATTTGACATATTTAATTCCCTTGATCACCAACGAGATTTAAGTCGATAATTATGTACGAGGATTGACAATATATATTTACATTTAGACAGCAATCATTCATATGATATAAGTGGAGTCAGATCCCGGACAACTAATAGTTATTATTATTATTAAAAGTAAGGTGAATGACAATTCTTTCAGGAAATATATAGCGGATTTACGTAATGTATTGAAACTTAGAAAGTAGTTTCATTTTTCGTCTTCCCAATAGACTTCAAAGATAAAACATTTATTTTTCGATAGTATGATAAGAAGACGAAGTTTATCTGCAGCCATTCAGATTGCAGAAACACATAAAATCAAATATCCATCATTCTCTATTGTCAAACGCATAGTTGAAAGAGGTCATAAGATTGATGTTAACTCGACTTTTGTGGTGTTGTACAAAAGTGTGAAAGGGTGTATACTAAGGTTTATTGAAGCTTTAGCCATACGAAAATTCAAACCCCCTTTGTGTATTCAAAAACAGTTTGTTCTCACCTTAAATCTACTCTGGTAATATTAGCTTATTATTATCCAGAGTGCAGAGTTTTCAAATTGTTTTCACACTATTTGTTTTATTATCCTTGTCTCTTCTTGCCATCCATTTCAAGTCTATTTAACCTCTTATTTTTATGTGTAAATGTATTTACAATTGATTAATCATTGGGTAGTGATCAATGTCATGTATGTCAGATCCTTCCCAGAGACTATGTTACAATGTGTCCACTGGTCTAGGGGACTCGACATTGAGTGCTCTATGTTCAGATAAGATGGAGGTTCACTATAGCCAACCACCATCTTATATATAAATGTTCTTAACAAGTATATGTGTGATCAGATTGTTCAAAATGTATTGCGTTCATATAATCATCACATAGTTGTGATAATCTTCGTCTTTTTATTACACTATCGAAATTAATCAAATGGATTAATTGCTTCATATTTATTTTTGTTATAGAATGCTTCAAAAATTACATCAGCTGATATTGATCGAGCATTTTCACTTTATGATCTTGTAAGTAAAGTATTTGTTTTAGTCATTTAGTTACACAGTGATATTCTATCAACTCTCTTGATCCATAATAACTATTTTGAATTATAATTCAAAGATATCATAGTAATCGTTATAAATTTCAAGTACTTAGTTTAAAATAAACCTTCTACATTTCAAGTGTTAATCTATGCTGTCGGTGAAATTTGTCTTCCTGTCGACATTATTGAACTCTATTTATCACGGCTTTTGACTAGAAATTTAACGCTTCAGTGCTAGTTATTATTAGGTAAGGGTTTATTGTTAATTTAAGTCATCAAATCTATCATATTTTAACTAGTGACTATGATTGTTCTAATTTAAGTTTATAAAAAATGCAGAATAATACTATTACATTGAAATGATTGTTTCTGATGGATTTAAATAATCGTTGTTTATGATTATTGATTTATTAATAATATCATTGACAATCATTATTCTATGATTTCTCAACTCATAATCATTTTGATCATTAACAGATATGAATATTTTAGAGTTTAATCTTTTATGAGATCAATTCGACGAACAGCTAAGAATGAAATAACTATCCTTAAAATTTATCATCTGATATTAGATGTTTTTTTGGAAAGTTTTCTTAGATCATAAATTGATATTGTTTTTCATCGTTTTATGTTTGTTGAAGATTAAAAAAAAATGCTCAACTAATCAATCATTTACCGATGATTTTTAATTTTAAAATTATGTAACGTTATAAATCAATGTCAAATGTATAAATAACTGATCATTAAACATTGATCCGTGTTATGTTTGTCTAGTAATTAATTACTGATTGACTTCTGTAGAACAAAGTACGTTATGACTCTTTAGTCTAAGTGACTCGACATCCAATTTACTTACGCTGGTTACTCCTCATGGAAGAGCATAGATCGCCCACCAGCACTCTTCATTCAACCCTGTCCTGAGCAATCCTTTCCGACTCTTTCCAGTTGTTATTCATCCTTTTTATATCTGCTTTTATTTCCTGATGTGATGTGTTCTTTGGCCTTCCTTTTTTCCGCTTTTCTTCAGAATTCTAAGTTAAGGCTTACCTCATGATGCAGTTTAGTGATTTCCGTAATGTATCTCCTATCCATGCGTGCACTATAATGAGGTAAAAAAATGTTTGAACGTAGGAAAAATGAAGACCCTAAATAAGGTTTCCTGCAATCTAGCACTTGGAAGCAAAGTTCACCAGTAATTTTGAAAGTCTTAGTGATAGATGAGACTATAGTTACCGCAAAGATACCTTTTAATTAGTACCAAAAGACATGAATCGTGAATATGAGGCTTTATAGCAACTACAATTGAAGAACATGTAGAACTCAAAACAACTTTCAACCAAGATCAAAGTCAGAATCTTCAATACCAACGTCAAGACAGTTCTACTGTATGGAGCTGAAGCTTGGAGAACTACTACAACCATCATCAAGAAGGTTCAAGTGCTTGTAAATAGTTGTCTACGCAGGTTACTCAACACTCATTGGCCGGATATCAGCAACAGCCTGCTCTGGAAGAGGACAAACCAGCTTCCAGCTGAGAAGGAAATTAGAAAGAGACGATGCTAATAATTACGACATACATTACGGAAATCACCAAACTGCATCACGAAGCGAGCCCTAAATTACAATCCTGAAGGAAAGCTTGAAAAGAGGAAGGCCGAAGAACACATCACGTCACGAAATAGAAGCAGATATGAAAAGGATGAATAAAAACTGGGAAGAGCTGGAAAGGATTGCTCAGGACAGGGTTGAATGGAGAGTACTGGTGAGCGTCCTATGCTTCTCTACGAGATGTAACAGGCGTAAGTAAGTAAGTAATTAAGTAATTGAAAACCATGATCTTTCACATTCTTTCATCCATTGACTTTGGTAAATAACTGTCTGTCACCCGACATGGACTGAACTCCACTGGTCATCATTTCTCACTACAACTCCAAGAAATCTATTTTGAAGTTAGTTACTAGTGACCACATAATCATTATCACTATGGAGATTTGTAGAAATGGTAGTATTTTCACATTTGAATTCACAAGTCAATTTTTGAATACTTTGAGTTTTTTGTTGTTGTTGTTGTTTTAACTGTTGGAATAAGTGATATTTATCAACATATATCAATGAATAATTATTATTTACGTGATAAAATAAATAATAATTGATATTTCGTTACATTAGGATGCAAATGGTACAATAGAAGATGAAGAATTATCAGGATTCCTTAAAGATTTATTGGAATTAGCTCAAGAAGTAAGTAGACAGAAATAAAGATCCTAGATCCTAGATATGTGTATATTATATATATATATATACATTGTTTTTTTTAGAAAAAAAGAAATGAATCGATATAAAGTAGAGATTTTATGTTATCACCTTTGATTAATCTAGTTCTATCTTCTTTCTGATGTCTTATACAATCAAATATTTATTAAGGTTTCAATTAAACAAATAAATTTATAGACTTGTTTTCTCCCGATGGAGCACAGATCACCGACCAGATTTCTCCAAACCACTATGTCCTGGATTTTCCTCTGTAGTTTTATCCAATTGTTGTTCATTCTGCTCATAACTTTCTCCACTTCTTGAAGTAATGCGTTCTTTGGTCTTGAGGATTCCAAGTGAGGGCTTGCCTTGTGACGCAGTTGGGTGCTATCCTCAATGTGTGTCCTATCCACTTCCAGTGATTCTTCCTGATTTCTTACTCCAATTGGATCTGGTTTGTTCTCTCCCACAGTAGGTTGTTGATGATAGTGTCTGTTTAACGGATCTGAAGTATTTTGCGTAGACAATTGCTAATAAACACTTGTATCTTCTGGTTGATGGCTTTCGTAGTTCTCCAAGTTTCCACCCCATACAGTAGAGCTGTCTTGACATTTGTATTGAAAATTCTGACTTTGGTGTTGGTTGACAGACAGTTGTTTTGAGTTCCAGAAGTTCTTCAGTTGTAGATATGCTGCTCTTACTTCCTCGGTCCGCGCCTTCATATTTGCATCTGATCCACCGTGTTCATCAACGATGCTGCCCAGATATGTTAAGGATTTTACTTCTTCCAAATCTTCTCCATCAAGTGTGATTCGATTGTTGCATGATGTGTTGTATGAGAGAATCTTGTTTTCCCTTTGTGTATATTGAGACCTACTGCTGCTGAGGCTGCTTCTACACTGGTCGTCTTCTCCTGCATTTGGTGTTGTGTGTGTGATAGAAGAGCCAGATCATCTGCGAAGTCTAGATCGTCCAGCTGACCAGACAAAATATTAATATTAAATTAATTCCATATTTTATAGTATTACATTACGGGATGATTTTACCTAGACAACCATTGAAAACCAGGTAACTGTAGTCAATTATGCTTATTTCAAGAAGAAGAAAAAACTATTTTTACTCAGATACTATTTTATAACAGTTTTTTAACGAGAGGTAATACATGTATAAACGTGTGTGCAATTTATTTCATTCAGGCTCATGTAACCTTACATCTTATTAAATTATCTCACACATCCATTATTGGGATAGCTTATGAGAACTGAAATGGAGACTCCAGTGGCCCTAAAAGAGCCGAAGAGTTTCCATCCAATCAGAATATGATAGAGCTTTCTAGAATAACAACGTGGTATGCTATTATTGAACAGTAGCATAACATGCCTCTTTGCAGATTGACTGAATTATAATGTTGATATTACAAGTGCTAATATTCTATAAATACCCATTATTTTCTGTATATTTTGATTCTTACCTAACAAGCAGTTCTCCAGTCTTCTTCTGTCGTTTGATCTGCGACTGTGGAGATTCTATTCGTTCGAGTGCCATAATTGTATACCGTACTCTGCGTTAATCAAGTAGCGAACTTAATATCAATAAAATGATAGACTCCATTATTTATATAATTAAGTTGCTTTTTATAACTCAAGATAAGTTAAGGTTATAAATATTTTGAAATCCTAATCTCAATCAAAGAAATTTGGAAGATATGAAATCATGAATCTAAGAATCTATGTAATCCAGGTTTTGTTAATTTTTAGAAAGGTGATATTTATTACAACACTTCTTTGTAACATTATACCTCAAAGAAGAAAAAACCCTGGATTCCACTGTTAGCCACCATCCATCTCTGCTTAAAATGCTTGTATCCTAAGACAATATCAAGACGATCCGAACAAGATACATATATTGCCAAAAGTACATTAATCAATTGCATTCTTAACCATTAATTGAGAAGATTCAAACAATCAATTCAAAATGGGTTTAGTTGTTTTTGGTGAGATTATAATTTATGGAGAACTTGTGAGCGACGCTAGAGTAACCTTGAGAGTGTCCACTCAATAACTAGGACCGAATGCGGGTTATTAACCAGTGTGAGGAATTAGAATTATGATTCACAATTAATGGTTAAGGCAAGGAGTTAGATTTATGGTTTTCATCACAAACTCACATAAGCTCTAATGCCAAAACACTATTTAACCAAATGGATGAATGAATTTCAAGCCGAAATCCGAGACCTGTTATCTTATACATGATTGGTTCGTCCATAAATTATAGTTTCGCGGTTGTTTATTTTTTGTTTTGGTAATCCGAATATATTCACAATTGTTTGTTTGTTTGTTTTGTTTTGTTTTTTCTTTTTATTTTATAGGATTATGATGAAGCTGATTTGGAATTTTTTAAAAAAGTCATATTAAATCAATGGGATGTAAATAATGATGGGAAAATTAATCGTGATGAATTAAAAATGATGCTTATGCAACAATCTCGTCTGTTAGGTGATAGATTATGAAAATTTATCTAATTATTTATTCATTACTATTATTATTATTATTGAGTATTTATGTTATCCACTTTCAAACAAAAGAGAAAAGAAACAAATTGAGGAGACAATCTTAACGAAACAAAGAAGCATATTTCTACCTCGATTATGACTCCTCACTCACTCCCTCTTTCTCCACCCCTTAGTTTTATTTTTCACACTCAATAATACAGTCATACCTTCCTTCCATTTTTTTTCTTTTTCAGTCAATCAATCAATTAATTAATCAATCATTCTCTATATTTTATTGATATCAACCTACATTTTTATTTCATGAAGCCCATTTTATTGCATAATTGTTTCCGCTTCTTTTAAATTTACAAAGAAAAAAATACACACAAAAAATGTATCTGTATTCATAAAAGTTTAATTGATTTTTCATTAATGTCATTAATATCTACAATTGTAATTTATCATTAATAAAATAGTAATAAATAACATGGTGATAATAATAATAATAATAATGTTAATCTTTAATTCATAGTGACCTAATGAATTACTATTTATAGTAATATACTCTAGTTTACTAAAAGAAATCATTTGTCTTTTTAGTTCTGCACAATTCATTATAACATTGTAATCAATCAATTAGTTATGTTTATGCAAAAACGCATAGTGGCTAGCAGTGGAATTCAGTGTAATGCGCGTTTCATCTTATTTGAAACTTGTCATCTGGTTTTATCTGCATTGCAAAGTTTATGTTCACTTCGGGACTCGAACCAAGTACTGTTCGCTTTAAACGTCATTGCGCTATTCACTTAGCTACTGAGTCCTGATAGCTATCTGCTTGTGAAATCGGGTGAAGTTTAAATTCACTTAGTGTTGTTTTACTTGTATCTTCCCATTGTTATTTAGCACAGCAATTGATCAGTCTCATGTTGGTAAATGTGCATCTTGTGCAGACTGCCTCGATATTGTCTGAAGTATCAAGCTTTATAAGCACAGATGGATATTGGCTTGCAGTGGAATGCACGACGCGCGTTTCGTGCTATTTGGAACTGGTCAGTTGGATGTACCTGCATCTCAGAGTTGATGTTCACTTGGGGACTTGATCGCAGTCCTAAATAACAATGAGAAGATACAAGTAAAACAACACCAAGGAATTTATGTTTACATTTGAAAATACAGACATTATTCAGTTTCATCATTTATATATATATATGTATATATATATATATATATATAATTTGCTTACATTTCCTTTTTTGTTGTTTTCTAATCAAGTATTCTCGAATATTGTAAATGGAAATTTACGTTGACCAATATCAAGTAATAATACTAACAGCAATAATAATAATTCCCTTTTTTGTATCCATATATGTTTTATTCAAACTAAGCAAAGTTATGTTAGTGTTGAAACATTAAGATACTTTAGTGATCCTCGTGTATCTGACTCTAGTTCGTGTTATATTTTTTGGCCTTGTGCCCCTATCAATATATGATTTAATGTTACCGCCAATTCGAAAACAGTGACTTGTCAACCTGACCAATGATGCATAAAACCTACATAAGCAGTCTAGAATCTTTATCGATCCTTCTTCCTGCCGAACTTTGTCCGTTGAGTCAAGAACACAAATCTCAACCTCCGCAAAGCAAACAGATCACATCAAACCATAAAACAGGAAATAATATTTGTACAAGATTTAGCCAAAAGTGATTATGAATATGGGAGACTGTAATTAATAGATTGAGTATAACTCAAGAAGGGTGAATCGCATAGTAATAATCTATGGGTCAAAATAAAGCATATTATAGGAGGAACATGGATTTTCATAGTTTAGCTACTTAACAATTATACAATAAAAATATATGTATCCTATTGTTCCATAAATAGTTCTCAAAAGTTACCATTCATAATTCTCGCCCGGATATAACAGTTCGATCATGTGATGATCGTATATATGATTATTGTTGAAATATACATTCAATCTATCTTCGTGTATAATGATTGACTTAAATCACGTTAGTGAATAACGGAATTAAATAAGTCAAATACGAGAATGAATTTCAAATACGTGTATTTGTTATAATCGTTTATCAGAACAGACAATCAAAGAGAAGAGAGCGAAGTGATATGACGTGCGGTGGGGAAAGCATGTAAACCAACTCGATTCAATCAAACATATATCAATATTTATAGTCACAAATGTAAATTACAGAAATGTACACATATGCGCTTCAATAAGTGACATGGTTAAAATGCGGTTTAAGAGGAATAAATAGATTGGTTTGTCCAGAAACTATAATAATCTATATGGGTTCGATATAGGGTTAGCCATTACAACACTAAGCAACTCCAAGTTCTGGCCATTTAGTTTATGTATAACACTGAAAAGCAAGTTATAGAGATATTAACTATACTGTAATTCAGAATACTTTGTATATGATACTTTATAAATATGATATTAACTAAAAAGGAGACCTACTTTATGTTTAAAACAATGTATATTCTTCTTTCACTATCATGATTCATTGATATACAGGACAGCTTACTATTATGGAGTTTTGTTCTCCGCGCAGGGTGGTTTAGTTGTGGAGCTTCCATCGTTCTTCTGAAGTTTGTGATGATGATGTTGTTCAGAGGAATAATGAAAGATTCAAGACAAAACCATCCAGCTCAGAGAACAAAACTCCATCGAAATCATCCACCTGAGCTACAAATCTTCCCCACCATCTCAGTATAGCTTACTGTTATGTAATACTATTTAAGATAATTAAAACTAAACTAAGGAGATTAATTTATATTAACCAAATATAAATTAATGTTAGATTCAGATATCATAATAGAACTTCATTCAATTATTATAACGAAATATACTTTAAAGCTTTCAATACTACTTACATTAAACCATAAATATATGTCTTATCAACATGTGATAGTTTAAATATTTATTCTCTAAGATAATGTCAATTAGATGTTTTTTTCAATTTAGTCTAATATAAACATTGATTTCGGTCATTTTACATCCATTCTACAATTCATCAGCTGATAGATAGATCAAAATAGCTTACTAACTTAACTAGATACCAGTAGTTAACTTAGATATAGTAAAAGAACATTGAAAGGAAGAAAGATAGAGAGCACTTGTAATTAAATGACCCAACATCGTTGTAAGCATAAATTAAACAGCAAAGGTAGTTAAGTATGGTAAAAAAATATACTAAGATTAATACAATACCATGTAAAAATAGTTAAAATTTATTATATACCGACGAGTATATTGAATGGTAACTGTTGGAATCGATTTATGGAGTAATACTATACATATATTCTTATTCTATAACTATTGAGTAACTAGATTATGTATATCTGTATTCCTCTTGTTATAAGCTTTATTTTGACCCATAGATTATTACTATGTGATTTACGGTTCTTGAGTTATACTCAGTCAATCAATTACATTATCTCACATTCACAACCACTTCTGGCTAGTTCTGGTACAAATGTTGTTTACTATTTTATGGTGTGATGTGGTCTGTTTGGTTTGTATATAAACCCAGTATGTTTGAAGTACATGATTCATATCATGGAGGCTGAGATTTGTATTCTGGACTCAACGGCTAGGGTTAGTCAGGGAAGAAGGATCGATAAAGATTCTAGACTGCTCGTGTGGGTTTTATGCGTCACTGGTCCAATCGATAATTCACTATTCTCTAATTGACAATATCGTTAATAGGGTACATAGGAACAAGTGATAACAAAAATGCTAATTTAACAGACATGATTTTTGGTTGGATTATTTAAATAAATGCAATCATTTACTACAGATTAGTAACATAAATCCTAATCTTAATTAATATAATTCGTAAGTAATATAATCTGATTAAAAGTATACATCAGTTAACAAACTAAATCAACGGTGATATTTTGAATTTTCTTTATTAACTGTAGGCTTTCATAAGTGTCGTATGTATTGTGTACCATCCAAGAACAAGTAAATAACGTTGGAAGTGAAGAAGATAATGTAATGATCTACATAGTTATAATAGACTTGATTACTATTTACATTAGAAAATGTTAGAATAACTAATACCAACCTAAATCATTACTATGGACACTATAACATTAGTTATTATTCTATCATTAAAAATTATAATAATTTTCTTCTTTGAACTAAACGAAATTCATCATCTTTGAGGTGAGACTATAATTTATGGATAACCTTTGAAAATTTCCATCTACTTACTAAAGTTAAATAAAGGTTATAAATTAATGTGAAGAACTAGGATCAAGATTTACAGTTAATCGTTAAAGTGGAAAATTATATTTAATGTTTTCATCACGAACTGACATCAATTATAATGCGGAAATGAGTGGATGAATCTCTCGCCAAAATCTATCTTTGACCTGTTATCTTAAATCTGATTGGTTCGTTCATAGATTATAGATTATGGAAATGTAACACTACCAAGTAAATTTTTTAAAAAAAAAACCCTGTTTGAAATCAAACTTCTTCTGGTATTTGAGTGACTTGAGAAACTTTACTGTTCTTATTGTTATACATTAAACATTGGAATATGCTTAAAAGTATAATGAGCAAGTATTAGGATAATTATTCATAAAGCTCAATTTGATGACCTCCAGTTTTTTTGACATTAAAATAACTAATTAAAATCTTTAGATAGAACTAGCAGGATTGTAAGTTGACAACTTGGATGGATATTACAGACATAAAATGTTGACCGTAATCTATATGTTAATGAAAGCGTATACATCTTCACTTTTGAAAGTCAACTTTCCCTTGGGACTTGCACTTACATCAATGAAGTTCAATAATCCTGAGTCAAAATTTCAACTGAAAAATATAACATTAAAAATAGTTTTATTAATTACGTTGGAGATTTGTAGCTCAGGTGGATGATTTTGATGGAGTTTTGTTCTCTGAGCTAAATGGTTTGGTCGTGCAGCTTTCATCGTTCTGCTGAACGATATCATCAGCACAAACTACCTGACCAAAACATCCAGCTCA